AGCTAGATGCAGAATCTCTCTTATGTAAAAAAATCCATGCTGGTTAACTTCACATTTAACAGTGGAGTTACTAAAACTAAATTATGGCGAACAGTGATAAAATGGATATACTATGCAGTAGGCATAAGTGGAGAGCTGCATGTATGCAATAAATTCAGGGTACCGCATGCCAAAACTGCAGAAACTTTTTTTTGAGAGTCGCGCAAATACAACTTTGGCAGAGAATGGATGACTCGTATTGTCATCAGTCAGGAAATGAATGAAATAAACTTTGGCAGTACTACAAAGTATAAATTTTATTAGTTATAGCTTTTCTGAAACCTCAAATGCACATTCGTTGGTAATATTTTTGATTTTTACAATTGAATATTCTATCTATACTCCCCGCAAAATAAAAGGATATTTTATAGACACACGTGAATTTCACGTGCACGCTTACTGGCATATCAAAAGCTTTACGGACCAGGGCATAATTGATGTTGATTTCATATCTTGAAGTTTTTTATTCCTGTAACGAAAATATTGCCAATGCTCTGAGTACCTCCCCTGGTTGTAGAGTAAGGGCTCGCTTCCTTATATTTTCAATGCATATATACTTTGAATTTTTATCTTTTCCTTTTTGGGTTGCCCTTAATGATCACCGCTAAGTTTGCATTGCATTTTGTGGAAGCACATGAAAATGCAGGTTTTGCTTGATGAATTGGTTGGCTTAGCACCCATGGACTCGAGCTGAAAGGAAGTAGCCTTGTAAGGACCCAAGCCATGCAAGATACGAATAATTGTTGCCTTGGCATTATCTCTTTCTTCATGGTGTTTAGATTGTAGTGATATGATAGATGACAGCGAAATCCAGAATTTTGAGAGCTCATATGTGTGCGTAAGATCAGTAAGGGGTAGATTGCCTTTGATGCTGATCTTGTGTCCACCTATAAGCGTATGAAATTAAATAGGTATGCATTGACTTATCAGGAGAGAAATTTATGTCAATGGGTTTAATCTCAATATAATTAAGCTTTAGGCAAGTTCGCAATTTGCAAAGTACTGGATCCTACCTTGATTTAAACTGGCATAGTATATATGCAAGGAATTTAAAGTAGCTATATGTGGATTAAAATTTAAACATGTTCATATTCAAATTTTAAACTCGAATAAGACGTGCATTGCACGTGCAAGCTTACTAGTGGAAAAAAAGCAGTGTAAAAGACAGTTGAGGATTTTGCCAGAGTGCATTCTTGTCCCACCAGTCTTGCTATCGACGGCTGTGGTAAAAGACAGAACCATACGGCAACCCTGCTAGAGTTTATGTTAGTGCTGCCACTAGTCATATTATCAGTGCTCATCACAACGGAACAGGGGAACATCCAAACGTTTTGGAGACTGGACTTCTTATAGTAGCAAGCACGCTAGTTCCTGGTAGATCGCCGGGGCGACGCACGAACATAGAGCGGGCCATCCATTTTTAGCGTGAGCATCGGGCGGTACCCCACCGTGAAGTTGCGCTCCCACATCTCAAACCTGAAAAAGTAGAGAAGAACAACTGCAAATATCTTCATCTGCCTGTAGGCGAACTCCTTTCCCAAGCAGATCCGAGGCCCGGCCTGTTAGATTCAACAAGAGGACAAACATACACATCACATGAACATACTTGGGAATTTTCGATCACATACACACATACTTGTTTCTCCTTTGTAATGATTTAGTTACCTGGAAAGCGGTGAACTTGTAGGGGCTCTCCGGGACAAACACGCCGTCGTCGTCGTGCCACCTCTCCGGCCTGAACTCCTCGGCGTCGTCGCCCCACAGGAACTTCATCCGGCCCATCGCGTAGGGCTGGTAGTTCACCATGTCCCCTCTCCTCACGGCGTGCCCGTCCGGCAATGTGTCATTCGAGAAGCAGCACTTGACATCCTGCAAGCAATGCAACAACCCCAAAATATAGTTAATGGTGTACTCCTTAATCATTTCCCCGGTCGTGACACAAAATGGCAACGCAAATGCTCACGACGGGCACCGCCGGGTACAGACGGAGGGTCTCCGTGAGCGCGGCGTGGAGGTAGTGCATGCTGCCGATGGCGTCTTCAGTCAGGCGCGCCACGAACTCTTGCACGCCGCCCACGTCCTGGTGGTCGCCGGTGGTGGCCTCCCGCACCTCCCGCGCGATCTTGTCCTGGATGCGCTGGTCTCTGCACAGCACGTAGAGGAACCACGACAGCGTCCCCGCCGTGGTGTCGCGGCCGGCGATCACGAAGTTGAGTATGATGTCCCGTAGGTACTTATTGTCGAAGCAGCCGGGATCTTTCTCCCTCTCCAGCAAGAATCTCGACAGTATGTCCTCTTTCTTGGCCTGCCAAATCAACAAATGTCACATATCGGGATGCAACCAATCTCATGCTGGAAGAGGAACTAAAGCTCACGTACGAATTCCTGTTGATTTCTACCCATCTGCTCGATCTTCTTGTCGATGACGGCGTACACGAAGTCATTGATGGTGCGCACCGACCGCTTCATGGCCGCCTCCGACAAGACGCCGAGGAGCCTCTTGGCCTTCCACAGCGGGTCCAGGAACCGGTACAGCACCTGCTCGCTGGCGTCGTCGAACGCCCTGGCGAACGCCGCGCCCTTCTTGTTGGATCCGGAGAGCGCGCCGAGGTTGACCCCGAACCCAACCGTGAAAATCGAGTCCAGCGTCGACCGCATGAACAGATTCTCCATGTCCAGCCTCTCCCCGGCCGCGGCGGCGGCGGCCACGATGCCCGCGAGCTCGGCGGCCACGTCGCGGAACACGCCGCTGCTGTACTCGCGGAGCGCCCGGGTGGTGAACTCAAAGCTGGCGACCTTCCGCTGGTGCCGCCACTTGGCGTCGTCGACGTTGAAGATCCCGTCGCCGAGGAGGTCCTCCAGCACGCCGTGGGTCATCGGCCCCTTGCCGTAGTTGGCGAAGTTGGTCCGGAGGATGTGCTCCACGTTGGCCGGGTCGACGGTGTAGACCCAGTTGCAGGTCAGGGTGAGCATGCGGAAGGTGCGGTACCTGCGGGAGAGCTCCGTCATGTACTCCGGCAGCCGGCCCCAGTGAAGCAGCTGCTGGAGCATGGTGCCGGCCACGGGCGGGTAGCTCCGGCGCCGCCTCTTGCCGCCGAGCAGGTACAGGGCTAGGAGGAGCAGCAGCGACGACAGCGCGGCCACCAGAAGCGGCGAATCCATGGCCGTGAGACCGCGCTGGGTCACGTAAGGTGCTGAGTGCGCCGTGCGTGTGTGTGGACTGAGGAAGCCATATCGTTCTCGTTATTTAACGAGCACTTGCCACCTGGTGTGTCCGTTTTCCCCTTCTCAACACACGTGTCCAAGACGATCATTAGCACATCGGCGAGACGAAACATCCAAAATGACGCCGACGAATGAACATCAAAGTTTGGTGAGACGAAACAAACAACATAAAACCTCTGAAAAATCCAAAATGTTTACTGTTTGTGGATTGTAACCCTGCATCAAGACGATCATTAGTTGATGTCGATAAGGAAACTCCGCAAGCCAAAACTCGTTTTCTTCAGGGCTACAAGCCAAATTTAACACTCATCTCTCGTCAGGGCTTGGAAGCGTTTCTAGAGACGAAAATTCCTGATACTTTGAGTTGACGTGTGCAAACTCTAGTCATGGGAATCGTGTGTGTAACTTTAAGTGCCGCGGAGACGAGGATGACGCGCTCCAACGAGAAAAAGAGGGAAGAAGAGACGAGAAGGCGCGAGGAGCAGTGATGCAAGCGGAATCGCCATCCCTACACTATGAGCAAACAACTCCGACTTCGCCGCAGGCAATCGTCGACTCAACCCATACCACAGCGGACGGGTGAAGCTGCAAGAAGATCTGCGCCAAAAACTCAGCAACCTACGGCCAGACAGGACAACTGTGACTCCGACAGAAAACTCTGAAAGACAAAACCAGGCACGGCTTGCGCCATGAAAGATCGCTAAACGGCCACCTACAACCAGCCATCGCATACCACAGGACCCCGCCGACCTAAGGGCAGCACAGACGACGGCCACCATGCTGCCGCCGAGGAGGCGGCCGGCGGAGGGACAACAGAAACCCTAGTCGCCCGATACGTCGCCTCGCGGCAGAAAATGCTTCGCTAATCACGGTTGTTGGGCTTATGCTTAGTCTCAATCATTCTAAATGACGCACACAACTCAACTTGCCCGTTTTGGAGCAGCGATTTACTGCAGCCCAGACGAGCATTCCAGGACTTCCTTTTTGCGCGTTGTTACGTGTCCAGGCAGGCATGCATGCACACAATTTCGTTATCATATTTTTAAGCAGATTCTGGTAATGTCATTCAGATGATTATTAATTTTTAAGCACATGCACACTAATTTATTTTGAATCTTGGAGTTGCTGCCATGTGGGGAGATATGCCGAGGGATTTGCTGTTGGCGTGTCCCAACGCTATCAAACGAACGGTAGAGTCAAAAAAAAAAATTTGCCGACGGCTACGAAAAACCTTCAGTGTTTTCACGTATGCTGACGACCATCTGGCTAGATGCCAAGGAAATCAAAGACGACGGTGATATGCCGAGGGCAGCCGTCGGCATAGAAGCCATTTTGCCACATTTTTCCTCCTGAGAATTAGTCCACTACTATCTTCGGTGCTTCACTCATGTCATTCAGAAGCACAACCAGCTTTATGGATTTAGAGAGTACAATCAGTTGTTCATATGCAAGTCTGATAGTTAGTGTTGTTATTGAGTCATTGGCTGTGGAATTAATTCTTGCATATACATTGTGTTTCAACATGTTCTGAATCATCGCTTAATTTTTGTGAACATTTTACTAGATTACATAACCCATAGAGTTTATATTAGTATCTTTTTATTTGTTGCTGATTCTTTATATAACAAAATGATTGTCGGAAATGGTTCCGCAGCAACGTGCAGGGCATCTTCTAGTTCTTATAGTAGCCGGCATGCTAGTTCCCGATTTTTTTAACACAGTACATATGCAAGCGCTCATATACACGCGCATACACTCACCATGCTAGTTCCCGGTTGATGGCCGGGGCGACGCACGAACATAGAGCGGGCCGACCATTTTGAGCGTGAGCATCGGACGATACCCCACCGCGAGTCGCGCTCCCACATCTCAAACTTGAAGAGGTAGAGAAGAACTGCCGCAAATATCTTCATCTGCCGGTAAGCGAACTCCTTTCCTAAGCAGATCCGAGGCCCCGCCTGTTAGGTTCAACAAGGGGACAAAAAATACACAAACACACGTCACATGAATGGATATGGAATTCTGGACCAGGTCGTATATTTTTTTTGTGATGATTTGGTAGACACTTGCTCACCTGGAAAGCCGTGAATTTGTAGGGGCTCTCGGGGACGAACACGCCGTCGTCGTCGAGCCACCTCTCCGGCCTGAACTCCTCGACGGCGTCACCCCACAGTAACTTCATGCGGCCCATCGCGTACGGCTGGTAGTTCACCGTGTCCCCTCTCCTCACGGCGTGCCCGTCCGGCAACGTGTCATCCGAGAAGCAGCACTTGACGTCCTGCGATGCAACAACCCATAATCTCCTTTGCGTACTGTACGGTGCGCAAAATGGCAACGCAAATGCTCCATGCGGATGAGGTCGGTCAACTCACGCTGGGCACCGCCGGGTACAGCCGGAGGGTCTCCGTGAGCGCGGCGTGGAGGTAGTGCATGCTGCCGATGGCGTCTTCGGTTAGGCACGCCGTGAACTCTTGCACGCCGCCCACGTCCTGGTGGTCGCCGGTGGTGGCCTCCCGCACCTCCCTCGCGATCTTGTCCTGGATGCGCTGGTCTCTGCACAGGTCGTAGAGGAACCAGGAGAGCGTCCCCGCCGTGGTGTCGCGGCCGGCTATCATGAAGTTGAGTATGATGTCCCGTAGGTACTTGTTGTCGAAGCAGCCCGGGTCTTTCTCCCTCTCCAGCAGGAACCTCGACAGTATGTCCTGTTTCTTGGCCTGCCAAATCAACAAATGTCACGATCACGACTAATTTGCTGCAAAATCAAGAAAGCTCACGTACGAATTCTTGTCCATCTCTGCCCATCTGCTCGATCTTCTTGTCGATGACGGCGTAGACGAAGTCATTGATGGTGCGCACCCACCGCTTCATGGCCGCCTCCGACAAGACGTTGAGGAGCCTCTTGGCCTTCCACAGCGGGTCGAAGAAGCGGTACAGCACCTGCTCGCTGGCGTCGTCGAACGCCCTGGCGAACGCCGCGCCCTCCTGGTTGGAGTTGGAGTTGGACCCGGAGAGCGCGCCGAGATTGACCCCGAACCCAATCTTGAAAATGGAGTCCAGCGTGGAGCGCGTGAACAGATCCTCCATGCTCAACCTCTCCCCGGCAGCCGCGGCGGCGGCCACGATGCCCGCGAGCTGGGTATCCATGTCGCGGAACACGCCGCTGCTGTAGTCGCGGAGCATTCGGGTGCTGAACTCGAAGCTGGCGACCTTCCGCTGGTGCCGCCACTTGGTGCCGTCGACGCCGAAAATCCCATCGCCGAGGAGGTCCTCCATCACCTCATGGGTCATGGCCCCCTTGCCGTAGTTGGCGAAGTTGGTCCGGAGGATGTACTCGACGTTGGCCGGGTCGACGGTGTAGACGTAGTTGCAGGTTGGGGTGAGCATGCGGAAGGTGCGGTACCTGCGGGAGAGCTCCGTCAGGTACTCCGGCAGGCGGCCCCAGTTGAGCAGCTGGTGGAGCACGGTGCCGGCCACGGGCGGGTAGCTCCGGCGCCTCTTGCCGAGCGCCAGGTACAGGGCTAGGAGGAGGAGGAGCGACGACAGCGCGGCCAGCAGCAGCGGTGAATCCATTGCCGTGAAACAGCTAGCGCTGGCCGCTGGGTCACGGTTGGTGCTGCTGTAGTGCGCCGTGCGGATTGAGGAATCTTAATTACATTCTTGTCGAGCACTTGGCACCTGGTGTAGTAGTCCGTGGCACAAATCACAGATTTGACCTGAGGCACAAATCAATTCACAAACTGACCTGCTTTCAAAAATTTTTTACTCTGCTGACCCTTTCGTGTGACGCCCGACAGCTGGGCGCCGCACACTACTATGCAGCGCCTCAGCCTTAGGCGTTACACCTGCTGCCAGCGTGGCAGCCCTGATCCAGTTGCGGCCCCACACGCACCTGTGCAGCGCCTAAGTCTTAGGCGCCACACTTGTAATGTGCAGCGCCTAGCTCGTGGGCGCTGCACAGTCTGTGTTCCACTTGGGCTGGCCCCACCCTCTCTCCCCTCCCACCCC